CACTTCTTTGCCGCATCAATCATGCGATGAGCCAGTGATGGAGAAACTTTTGATACGGATGCTACTCCTCGTATTTTCCGTACTTTCCCGGACGTCTTGCACTGCAATCCAGGGGGCTTTGAATTATTTTTGCAAGCAATTTTTAAAGAATGAAATTTAAATTCTGAAAAAGCAAAAATTCAAAAAAAAGGACCTGTACAGAACGAAGAACTCGAACAGTTGGAGCCGTCAGCATAACACATCCCCCGCCACTCGGTTTATACCCCCGTGCAAGAATCTGAATAACAAAGTGCTCATTATTAACTCATTTTTGCTCACAATTATGACCGTATCATCTGTGCACCGTAAGTGGCTCAGCCGCTCGTAGCTGCTGTTCAAACTACGTTTCCAATTTAATTCACTGAGCTAAACATAACACATTTTTTTAATGCATTTTTTTGCATCTATGCAATGCAGAAACGCATACTGTAGAAGGACTGTGTGTGTGTGTGTGCCTTTGTCTGTGTCTATGTGTCTGTGCCGATTTTCCATCTGGAGACCTATAAAAGCTGAAAGGCTGAAAGTTTGGGAACTTAATCTACATGCACATTCGGGTCCTCATCCCCAAAATGGACACTCTGACCCACGCGGCTACCACGCACGGGCCCATCAGTTTTTTGCGGGTAAGTGGCAGAGTTAGAAACATGAAGGGCTAGAACAGTGGAATTTTAAGGGGACGTTAGGTCTTAATGCGATCAAATCCAGCCTCCAGGCATGAGTGTTCCCCACATTCGGCCCCGTGAAAGTTTTTTGCCGATAAATGGCTAACTCAGAAATCAGAAAAGCTAAAAAGCTGGAAATTTAAAGCGCCGTTTTCAGACAGCCCTGATGGCCTGCCTCAATTCTTTTAGCTAGAAGCATCTGCCGGAAAAACCGGTATCGTTAGCGACAAAAGCCTACGGGGAACTATGCGAAAAACGCATCTTCGTACCACCTTCGGTGCGCTAGCCATTTACTGATATTTTAATTTGAAATCAGTGCTGATGAGGTAGCGCATATACCGACGAACAGATCAAAGTGCAGTCTTAAAGCGAATTCGAAGGGACAAGAACCTTAATGTCCGGTGGGTCGGATGCGATCACAAATTTGTTGAATACGGGGAGCCATGTTGCGCGAATTGCATCAACGCTCAATTCACTGGGAGCATTGGTCACTCCTTGCAATTTCACATTCAGAGGCTTTTTGCAGAACGGAGCAATCATGAGCAATGGTTCCAGGAAATAACTGCAAAAGGAAAAGTTTGATACAAAATATAAGCACAGACAGCGATCGGAAATAGTGAAAACGTTACTTTTCGAATATTAAAATTTTTTGAAGAATAAGGGAGGAATAACCTTAGGCATCTGCTGTTACCACAGTCCAAAGTAACCGCACCTCCGGTAATCATACCAGGCACAAATTCTATCTGAGTACCTGAAATCATACAATCTTAAGAATTTTCTCCCAGGACAAGATATGAAACAAATTACTCCTTCAAATGTGCACTATTTATGATCTGGATTGAAGAGGCAGTACAAGCGTGTACCGATGTGTTTTGGCGTGACCTACTGTTTCTGTAGTTACGTCTTCTCTGTTACTTTCGTTTCCATCATTTTCTTCCTTCGCCTTTTTATGCGTTTTTGCATATATGTAAATTGCAAAAACGCATATTGGGAAGAGGCTGTCTGTG